TTAACAAAACTATGGAAAGATTTAGTAAGGAAAAGAAAAAAGAAATCACCTTACAAGATCTCCAGAGTGAAGTTAATAAGCTTAAAATAGAAATAAAAGATTTAAAAGCTCAAGACAAAAAATTTGCTGAAGCTTTAACTCTTTTACAAACAGAAAAACATTCTGAAAAATCCCAGGATTCTGATCCAGAAGATCAGACTGAAGATTTTACTAATCTTTTGATCATCAATGCTTTACACAGGGGATACCAGTAACCTCCTCCTTTCAGACGGAAACTTCTGGTGTAACGAACCTGCCTTCATTCCATGAAGTAGGCACTAATGATAATAAAAGAATTAGTCTGATTAACTCTTTGACTGTCCAAAAATGGCATGTTGAAGTAAAATTAATCATTAACAACAGTTATCATATTACTGTTATTGCCTTATTAGACACTGGAGCAGATGTAAACTGCATCCAAGAAGGATTAATTCCAACCATGTTTTATGAAAAAACATTGGAAAGAATTAGTTCTGCTAATGGCAGTAAAATGAATGTTAAATACAAACTTCCAAGAGTTCATGTATGTCAACAAGATGTATGTTTTGAAACATCATTCTTACTTGTCAAAGACATGACTGACTCTGTTATACTTGGTCTTCCATTTATATATCTTTTGTACCCTTTTAGTACAAATACAGATGGAATATCAACCAAGCATTTTGGAAGAAAAATTGTATTTACATTTATCACTAAACCAGAGAGAAAACATTTAAGGCAGCTAAAAGACGTTTCTGTCTCACAGTCCCTTAATGTTATAAACAGAAAGATTAAACAAGTGGAATTTCTTAAACAAGAGATTAACCACCTCAGAACTAAAGAAAACCTAACCAACTCAATCTTACAACAAAAGATTGATAGGTTTAGGGAAAAACTTGAATCAGAAGTTTGTTCCTCTCTTCCTACAGCATTCTGGCATAGGAAAAAGCACATGGTCAGACTTCCTTATATTAAAGGATTTAGTGAAGACAATATCCCTACTAAATCCAGACCAATCCAAATGAACCATGAAACTACTGAGATCTGTAAAAAAGAAATCTCAGAGTTACTAAAAAATGGTATCATTAGGAATAGCAAGTCACCTTGGTCTTGTCCTGCTTTCTATGTAGTCAAAAACGCAGAATTAGAAAGAGGAGTCCCAAGGTTAGTCATAAACTATAAACCTTTAAACAAGGTTTTAGAATGGATTAGGTACCCTATACCTAACAAACAGGATTTGATAAAAAGACTCAATAAGTCTACTATCTTTTCCAAATTTGATCTTAAAAGTGATTTTTGGCAAATACAAATCCACCCTATGGATAGGTATAAAACCGCTTTTACCACACCTTTCGGACATTATGAATGGAATGTCATGCCTTTTGGGTTAAAAAATGCCCCAAGTGAATTCCAGAACATAATGAATGAAGTCTTTAATTGTATCAGTCATTTTTCTATTGTCTATATAGATGATATACTTATCTTCTCCAAGACAATAGAAGAACACTGGAAGCACCTCTATGCTTTCAATACAATTATTCAACAAAATGGATTAGTATTATCTGCACCCAAGATTAAATTGTTCCAAACCTCAGTAAGGTTTTTAGGATACAATATCCAGGATTCTACTATCACTCCTATTAGTAGAGCCATTCAGTTTGCAGATAAATTTTCAGATGAAATCCTAGACAAAACCCAATTACAAAGGTTTTTAGGTTCCCTAAATTATGTTTCTGACTTTTATCAGGATCTTAGGAAAACCGTCAAACCTCTATATGACAGGCTCAAAGGAAATCCTTCTCCTTGGACCACTGTTCATACTTCTATTGTTCAACAGGTCAAGAAGTTCATAAAAACTCTTCCCTGTCTTGGTATTCCGTCCGTTGATTCTTTTAAAATCATCCAGACTGATGCCTCTGATGTTGGTTATGGTGGAATCCTCCTTCAGAGAGAATCTCCTAATTCTCCTGAACAAATTGTTCGGTTCCATTCTGATATTTGGAATAAAACTCAAAAGAATTATTCCACTATTAAAAAAGAGATTTTATCTATTGTCCTGTGTATCTCTAAATTCCAGGATGATATATTGAATCAGAAATTCCTTGTGCGGGTTGACTGTAAATCAGCCAAGGATGTTTTAACCAAAGATGTCAAAAATATAGCTGCTAAGCAAATTTTTGCTAGATGACAATCTATTTTAAGTATTTTCGATTGATATAGAATATATCAAAGGAAAAAATAATTATATTCCTGATTTCCTAACCAGAGAATTTTTGCAGGAACCTCATGGACGCCAGGAAACCTAGTTCATCCGGAACCTCCTCCAAAAATTCGGGGGGAAAGAAGGATAAACAAAAACAACCAAAATCTGAACCTGACTTGCCAGTAGCCTTGTCAAACAGATTTTTATTGGAAACTACTCAGCCCAATAGGCCAGTAGCCCAATCTGTCTTGGTTATTCGGCCAGTAACCGTATCAACCACTGTCAACCCACTTATCTTTACCCAAATGGCCCAACAACCACCTGTCAGGACCACTAGTGCCATGACAAACCCGTATAAAGCCTCACAACCCTTTGTAGCCCAACCAGGCCCAAAGGTTGATTATATCAAAGCCTATTCCCAGAATGTCCTAGCCATTGAACTAGCCCATTCTAAATATAAGGATCCAAAAGACCTTGTAAAGGCCTACCTCCCAACAGGTTGGACCTATATCCCAATAGACTTGGAAAAATCCCATAATTTTTACCAAGATATTCTCTACTACACCAAATCTATCCATACCAAGCCCATTCATGATAAGATAAACCCAAATAAGGTTCTCTATCATAATATGGCTATAACTAAAATCATTTATGTTGAAGAATGGGGTTCTCACCCTTCTTTGCTCCGAGAACTTCCTTTTCACAACAGGCAATTTAATTACTATGACTACATTGAGTCATGGTCTAAAATATTACTCTACCAAAATGAGGATTTGTCCCATTCTTGGTTCTTGAATTTTCATAAAGATTTCAAAAGTCATATTCCAGCATGGTTTAATCAGTGGTGGCATCAACATGGCCCCATTGAGGAAATCTTTCCAGCTGATCTTAAAGATCAGATCAATATCTTTTACTCCCTTTACCGTCCTAGTAAACAGGAGTCCCCATTACCCTTATTACTAATATTTCTTTGTAGGTACAAAGTCTCGTGGATACTCAAATGGCAATGGGAAATTGTTGGATTTAATTTAACCCGGCAATTTTATGCCAAGTGGTGGCCCAGGTTTCAGCATAGTGACATTATTGCCATGGTGAAACAGGACTTCCCTGTAAGGGTCCCAACTCCAGTAGTAGTTACAGGCCCCTTACAACCGGCAACACCAGTGAAGGAATTGCCCGCTCAATTAAGCCAGGTTAGCCTTCCTATAGCACAGATCAGACCAGAAGAATCTTCATCTAAAGGTTCTAAAGACTCCAGCAAGAAGTCCAGCAAGAAGTCCAGCAAGAAGAAGTCCAAAGCAAAACTCCTCAAGAAGCTCTTGGACCAACTTGACTCGGACAGTGACTCATCGTCTTCCCAAGGATCTTTCACAACAGATCTCCCTCCAGACTATGCTCAAGATCCGTATGAAGGAATGAAAGACTTTGATGTTGATGATCTCACTCCTGACCTTGCACTCCCGTGAATTATGATTTACATAAAGTGGCTTCAATCACTACTTTCTTCAAAAGAGAAAGAAAAGTTGTCCACTCTGTGTAAAAATAACATCACAAGTCTGCATAGGATCCCATTTCCTAAAAGCAGGATTCTCACAGACAAATGCAGGGCCCATAATCTGCTTTTCCACCGAAAGATGGATTCTCAGGACAAACAGACAGGACCCACTAGTCCCTTCAGCATGTCCTAGTTACCCGGGTAAAAGAATCTTACTCCACTTTTCAGCCGAAAGCAAGAAAGTGAATTTACTTTACCCTGAGTAAAAAAAAAAGGCAGAATGATTGCACAAGGAGAATCCGGAGTCCCTTACCTCTATATAAGGCAGCTCCCTCTCCTTAGAAGAACCCAAGTTTTTGAACTTCAGACACTCTCTCTAGTCTGGTTTCAAAAACTACATTACAAGCCACTAATACTTGTAAACCTACCCCTCACTTGTAAAGCCTTCTTCAATAATGCAAAAGAAGAGCTCCCTATTTACCGCTTATTTCCACTAGACCATTAGTTCTAGTGTTGTAAGTATTTATTTTCTTATATATATATATATATTTCTTTGTTAATTGATGTTGAGCAGAGCCTTCCAGATTCAGCTTCCAGCACCTCAAACACATTTATTTTGACACTGGAAGGGAAATGATGAAGGGATTAAATTCAAAGCATACATATTTGATAAAACGGTGATAAGCCTTTCACCACATGACCATCTAATCAGACCAAACTGTCTATGTATGTTCGGAGGATATATTAACCAAATGGCGTAAACCACTTCACTGAAATGGGTTTTGGGTGGGAATGTGTTCATGAGTTTTTTGGTTGGTGGGTTGGGAAAAAGGAATGGAAGGCGGTGGTGGGTTTGATTATGTAAGTCGGCAGCGATTGAATTTCATTGTGGCATCATGGTGTTTGGGTGAGAAAGAGAGAGAGGAAGAAGGAGATGGCTGCTATGAATAAAAAAAAAATTCAGAGGTACTGGAAGGTGGGAAGGAGAGGGGGTGAACACCGACCAAAAAACGGAGGTTACTAACAGGGGATGTTAGTGTTATTTTTAATACATGAGGGGGTCTTGTTGTTTGACCAAACCTCAGGGGAGGTGGATGTAATTTACCCTTAATTAATCTATCTACCGGGGTCATTGAAGCAGAATTGCAATGCCTTCAAATAGAACCGGATGAATAAAACCAGAGCTATAAAGCAATATTATAAATAAAGCAAAACAGTTACATCAAAGATTACCAGAAGCTTAGGGTATTATTTGATCTCCCCGTCCATACGCAACAGACGTACCTATATTACAATGTCAAATGTACTGCAACCTTCACACTCAATGTACAGTGCAGTTAGATCAAATCTTGACTCGATACAGATCTTGGGTCGCAACCTGCATCCCCTATCAAGATGTTCTGCATGAGCTTCAGCCAGCCGAGTTCGCAACAAGTCCAAAGTAACCTAGAAATACCAGAGAGACGCCTATGGTCAGACTCAGACGATAGAAAATGTCTATCAAGATGTTCTACATGAGCTTCAGCGATTGAATGATGCGTCTATCCTGTTATTTTACACGAACTATGATGGAAAATGTCCTCACAAATTATTGAACATAAACAAAACAAAAAGAGCAGTACACCACTGCTAAAACTTCAAAATTCGTCGTTCAGAGAACATTTATTATGAGTATGAAGCAAATTTGCATCACTCTACTCATTTGTGTAATTCAAGTTTCCATATGATCCATGATGTTCATGAATAATTGTCTAGAAGATAAAAGGAAGTTATGTCCATTTGAATTACTGCCAACCCACAAGGGAGACATACAAATTTACACCCTGGTGGACCGATCAACACGGGGGTGTGTAAATTTACTGAAAAAAAAGAAGGGAGGAGGTGTTATGGCTGGATAATGTTTAAATTAGGAGCACTACAGTACAGAGGACTTGGGGAAGTCACAACAAAAAGACCGTTCTTATTTCAGTTCATATAGTCTTTTACCAACAATTTGATAAGGTGACATTGAACAATCGACAAGTAATCAACAGAACAGAGTTGAAGCAAGAAAAGATTAGATCTCAAGCAATTGAGAAATAGTAGCAGGACCTCATCGCCTCTAGTGAGCTTAAGCTCACACCGGGTGCAATGTATAAAACTGCAGTTCTCCTGCAACTCTCCTTGCTTGCAGATGGGGCACCATAACTTCTGCACCTATTAGCAACATTCATGATTCAACATACTCGTTGGTTTCATTTATGAAAAACATTTACAAGGAAGACACAGGCAAGGGAAATAAAAAACATTCTTCTTGCTTCACAATGTGTATTGGATGAAGACATCAGATCATAAACCCGACATATGCAATGAACCATTCATAACATTGGCTTGTGAGAGAAAAATTGGTGAAATTTCACTACCGCAATTGCTAATATGGATAGCGGATGGCCAGCAAGAAGATTCGAATATGCAGCACAAATCATTCTTAATGCATTGAAAGAAAAGAAAGAAAACAAGTTTAGCCATGGTGGGATGAGTCGGCAAGAAGTGCGAGCAAATGGGATAACCAAAAAAAAGACGAGATACCGATTAGCCAAAACATCAGTGTTCTGGTTTAAATTTTTACCCTTCTTCGGTCAGACTTTATCTGCAGTGTGCGTATGGTAGCATACGGATAAGAAAACAAAGGGGTGGCCTACCAGTTAAAACAACTCAAACCTACCACTTAAATGCACATGATAGTCATGCACACTTAGGGTGACAAATCCCAATACATTACTTGGAAAATGAGCGTCATGCAGAAAATAGTAAACAAATTTATTGAAAAAACATTATCAAAGAAATTTTTTAAAGATACCTACTAACTATACTTGCAAATATGAACAATTAATTTTCTGTATAATGAATCTGAATTTATGCCTGTGTCAGTTTCAAGACCCTAAATTCGCTGTGGCAGTGAACAGGCTTGAAGAATTAGAATTTTATTGAACCCTAGATGCCAAATGATGTGAGTTATATTATCTACACCAAAAAATAGGTCTGCTACTGACGCATTTGGTGATATCCTTAGATATTTATAGTTTTCACATTTTCAAGTATGATACCTGCTTATCATTCAGCTGCATATGCTCATAAACTGCACGTGCTAAGTACTCGTCTTCTTCATCCTCCCAAGTTCTGATATAGCGTTCCGGTTCTGCAAGTAGCAAAAGTAAATCTTCAAAGATGATCATCAGACCAAAAATAATCCCAAAATGCGAGAAGACGAAAAAAAATAAAATTGAGATGGTTCATAGAAACTAACTTGGTGATCAAATCTCTTGTTAAACTCTCTTATGGTGTGAAATTTCAAATAATATAGAAACAAATAACTTCAGAACCTTCTCCAAAAAGAAAAAGTGAAAAAAGGGTAATCATATCTGACCTCACGAAGTGGGGAGGGGTAATGTGATAAGACAGCAGAGAAATATAGAAAACATGATATCACACATTACAATTGCATCTTTGCAGAAATATTACTCAACTTCACTCGCATTGCAATATTTTCTCTTCTCATTAATAAGGTTTTTGAGGCTAGTATACAACTTTAAGATTGCATCAGAGCCTACAATGTGGAAGATGCAACTGTAACTCCTCACAAAAGAGCACCTATGAATTACCTCTTCTACTTTTCTGTGTCTTAAGATCCTCATAAAATATCCTTTGCATTTCTAACAAAATTTCTTCACATTCGCCTTGATAAGCTGTGTGAAGACCCTCATATTCCCATATTGCATCATCAGTATCAGGAGCAGGAATTAAGGTAGCAGAATAGTCCTTCAAAGGTGTGTCCTTAATTTTTCTTAGTTCATCAGTAACTATGTCCCGGAAAGTTGATTTAATTAACTCCTGCAACCAGAAAACTTAATACATAGGTAGTTTGAATAAGCAGATTTCACAGTCCAGAAACACAAACATGATACGTCATCACACTGGGAACAAAATCAAATCACAGTCACAAGAAGATCCATCAAATTAATATACAAAGAACACACAATAGTTGTGAATAGATAAGTGGGATAGTACAGTCCCATGCAACATAACAGAGCATTACAAATGCAATGCATAAACAAACAAGGATAGTTTCTTCTTTCTTTTGAAACTATAGATTGGTGAAGCTCAACCTAGGATTCTCCAACTGATGTAAAAAATTGTTGACAATGGTTATGGCTTCAATGCTTTTCCTCTGTTCCAATAAAAAAGAGAGAGGGATGGGGAAGACCTAATTATTTGGTTTATTTAATCAGCACGGATACAAAAACACATAAATTTTCTATAAACCGAAACAGAAAATGGAAAGGAGTTGTTCCCGGGCATCCTAAAAAATGAGGATATTATACACCCCAACCCCATCCCTTTGGAAAGAAAAAGGTAGCACCGAAGAAAGGATAGAGTGAGATGGCGGTTTTTCTTGTTCCTGCGATGCGATAAATGTTTACGCTGTCCACACAAATGTTATGCAGCATACGGATCAGTGTTTATGTAAAATGAGAAGGAGCATGTAACATGATTTCACACCATGACACACCAAAATCTAGACTTTCTCCAATATTTTCACATAAATGTCATAAATTACAAGACAAGAATTTTTAGGACATCCATGATGAGGCAGAGGTTCTCCGTATACAATAGCTTTTGACATGAATTGGAAAGATGTTGATACATTGCATGGATAGCATGCTACTCGTGCTTGTCAAGACCAAAATAGTAACATCCTAGCAGAAAAGCAAGCTTTCAGGAAAGTCTATACTTCGGCAATGAGATACATCAGCATCGACCTTGATTCAGCGTTATTGACATTTCTGCTATTTGTTAACACCAGCCTCTGGCGCTGATAGAATCTTGAGAAACATCTCAATCCAAAATCGCTCAAATTTTTATGTACTTCCACTAATCTCTCAACATTATACACACACCTCACGTGTATGTGTGTACAGCTATATTCTTAGTTTGCATACATTTTATTCATTTGCACATAGACGGAGAGAGGAGAAGAACCTTATGATTAAGAGATTGATCCTCAGGCCCCTCAGGCAACCTCATTTTCCAAAGGAGACGTGTTCGATCCTCTCGGACCCTTTTGTAACAGTTTTCTCTGAGCTGCACTTCAGAGGCGTAAAATTCATCAACTTCAACTTCCCTAAGCATATAATTACAGACTACACAAGCAATACATATGCATATACATATCCTAAATACAAATTTCAACGATATTTTTGTTTTTGTGCGTGTGAGAGAGAGAGAGAGAATAGAGATAGGCATACCTTGTCTTTCCACTTGGGATAATTGTTGAAAGACACATGAGCTTTAAGAGAAGGTCGTGATTGGGGTGGTCTTTGATCCTTATCCCCCATCATTCTATCGGAATTCTTCCACTGTTAGTTTGTTGCGATTGCAGACTGAGAAGTTGTTAGGGTTTGTGAGAGAAAATTGGTCGACGCGAAGACAGTAATGAGGCGTTGCCGCGATGGGGACGAAGATGCGCGCCGATTGGATTTAATTCTCGATTTCTCGATCCTTCACGGTGCGGGTCGGGGCTCCTTATAATGATTTAAAATGTTTGTATTGATAGGTAAAAGTATTCACAAGAGTCGAAAAATCATCTACAAAAATTATAAACAAAAATATTGTAAAAATATCCAGAAAAATTTTAAAAACACTTACAAAAATGATAAAAATTGAAAGTATGATTGAATTTTTGATTTGGTACCGTAATCTTCTCCAAATTTATCCCATTTGAATTCATGTTTAATTTTTTGTTTTGAAAAAAGAAAAAGGATTAATTACAAATCACACCTTTAAAGTATTGATGTGATTCCTATTTAGTTCGTGGAGTTTTCATTTACTCAATTTAATCCTTAAAGTATTAATTATGTTTCTATAAAAGACTTCCATCCATATTCATTATAAACACCAAACCGTCAGTCAAATTCGGAGAGACATTTTCATCCAACTTTTTCATTGTCTTCACCTAATACTCTAATTATAGTTATATTATTGACTCTTATCCTTAACTTATACCTCACGAGTAAAAGAGTATTTTGTTTATAAAAGAGTATTTTGTTAACTCATTTATAATAAAGTTGGACAGTAGTAATGCAATTGTAAATTTGGATAGTGATAATAAATTTATAAAGTTAATAAAAGGTCAATGATAATTAAAATTTATAAATATTTAATTTTGAGCAGTAATAGTTAATAATTAATTTTTTGTTTTTTTTAATATTTATTACAAATATTTTAGATGTATAATATCATGTTTATATATATATGTGGATATTGATAAATTTTTATTAATTGATTATTTTGTATTAATTATTTATTATAAATGAGTTGACGTTAGATTTGGGCTCAAATCTTATAAAATTAATTAATGAATTAATTTATAATAATTATTTAATTTTATAAATTAATTATTACAAAATTTAATAAATTAATTATGGCTACCCAAAATTAATAAATTTTTTATTATTGGACAGTGGTTATAAATTATTAATAAATTTATTATTAACTAAGATTTGGACATTGTCGATTTTTTTTGTGTTTTTGGTATGAGCAATGGTTGCAGGTGAGGGCAATGGGGAGAGTTAGACGAAAATGTTCCTCTAAATTTGACTGATCATTTAGTGTTTGTAATGAACAGAAGTCTCTCATGAAAAACAAAATCAATACTTTAAGGACTAGAGAGAGCAAATCAAAACTCCAAAAACCAAATAGGAATCGCATCAATACTTTAAGGGGGTGTTTGGTTTGATGAATAAACCTGGATAATTAATGTTAGATGGGATAAAAAAAATGGGGGGGGGGCATTTATCCTTGGTTTGGCAAGGCATATGAAGGCTGGACAATTATTGGTATTGCAAAACTTGGCCTGTACTTATTTGGCTCGTTTATCCCTTCTCAAGTGGATAAACAAATTCCACCAAAACTTTGGGATTAAATAGCAGTCTATAGGATAACAAGTGTTTTTACCATTACACACTTGTAAAGCAGTAAAGTAGGGTTTCGTTATCCTATCTTCCCTCTTTTCATTGGTCTCTATCTTCAAACGGCGACAAATCCTCTCTATTGGCAAGGTAAGCTCTCTCTCTCTCTCTCTCTCTCAATATATATATATATATATATATTGTAAATTTTGTGTATCTCGTGAGAGATGTTGGTCTATGTCGGTTTATCGATTTGTGTTCTGTTGTGGGTTCATTGGATGGATGTCGCTCTTTGTCTCTCTCTTTTCGTGTAGCTTTGTATGGGTGTATGTTGGGTATTTTTTTTATAAAATATGTTTTCTTTTTCACTCCTCCCCAACATGAGCCTCTCATTCTATCACTTTCTCTGACTGTCTCTTTCTGTATCCCTATATACATTCTCTCTGTAGCCCACACTTAATATTGTGCTACCTAGCAGAAAATGTATGAATACGACTTAATACCGACACACAGTAGAGAGTAATGTGTTACCCAGCAGTGAGTAACACACATAGACATGAATAAACCTGTATACCTCTATCTTCTACATCTCTGTTGTTGCGTCTTTATGTCTGTATCGATGCATGTGTGTGTGGAGGGGTGTATGTGTAATTAGTGTCAACTTCTCCCTCTTGCGTGTCTTTGTCGTTGTGTGTTTGTTTGTGTGTGTGGGTGTATGTGTAACGTGTGTTGTCTCCTACCTCTTCTCTGTCTATGTCGTTGTGTGTCTGTGTGTGTGAGTGTATGTTCTCCTACCTCGTCTATGTCACTGTCGCTGTGGGTGTATGTTCTCCTAACTTGTCTATGTGTGTGTGGGTGGGTGTATATTCTCCTACCTCTTCTGCCTATCTATCGATATGTGCGGGGTGTGTGTGGGGGAGGGTGTCTGAGTGTATGTTTAGTTAGTGTGATCTCCTAACTAGTACATAGAAATATAGTTAGGTACACTGACATAGTAATTGTAGCAACACACACACCCGACACGATGCTCATGGGACACAGTCACAAACACAGATTATCCAAAGCAGACGCACATATGTTTGGTATGGGAAAAAATTGTAGTAATTGTTTCTGAGTTTACAAGTTTTTGTTTGCGTTCTACCATGTTTTGTTGTATTAAACTAGTTTTTACTTTGTTAACAGTGTGTTGGATCACCTTTTCGATGTTTAAGCCACGACTTAGGTATTCTCATTTATTTTGGACACTTGTGTTGTCTTATGTACTGGCCCATTGTTCTTATTTTTGTGTTAGTTGATTTGTGAGATTGAATACTCTGACTAAAATGAAGTAGTTTACATATTTGAGCATATGCTGAAGTCACATAGAATTTATGCTTATGTTTGTTTTTAGTTGTATGGAACACTGATAAATTTCTTCATGTTTTTAAGATTATTAAATAACACTAAAAACTAAAATAATTAACTTCTTTTTTGACTAAGAGTAGCATAAATTGGTGATAACAACGTTATTGGATAATTTTTTTTTTTATGAATTAGGTATACATGGACAGCCCTACCGATGCATTGTTTGTTACTTACCCTTATGTGTAGGACTATTCAGGAGATGGTTGTTATGTTTAATATTGTGGTGTCTATAATGTTGATGATATGAGACATGAAAAACAATGGTACCACATCTGAGGTTCCACAACACATCCAAAGGAGTCGGTTACAGATTGAACACTTGCACCATCTCATTGGGGAGAGTGACAAAATGTGTATAAACCAACTCAGGATGGATAGGCACACATTTGTGATACTGTGTAATATGGTTTGTGATATGGGGCAGTTAAGTCCAACTAGGAATTTAAGTGTGGAGGAGATGGTGACGAAGTTCTAAGGTATTTTAGCTCATGATGACAAAAATAAACCAATTAAGTTCAATTTCCTTCGCTTAGGTGAAACTATTAGTCATCATTTCAATAATATGCTTACGGCGATTTTGAGACTGCGTAGGTTATTGCTTCAATCCCCTAAACTTGTACCGGTGAACAGTATTACTAACAATAAATGAAAATGGTTTACGGTAAGCCCAGACTTTGACATTAATTTAAACACTAATTTTTATGCGTTTTACCTTAGCCTTTCTTAGGTTATATTACTTGATTGAAGATTTAAAAACTTTATTACTCAATTGGCTTTGTAGAATTGTGTGAGTGCATTAGATGACACTTATGTTCCTTTCCGATAACCTCTTGTCCATCAAGTTAGATATAGAACACATAGAGCTAACATAGCAACAAATGTGTTTGGGGGTAAGTGCACCGAACATGAAGTTCATTTGCGTGCTTCCTGTCTGGGAGGGGTCAGCTATCAATTCTAGGATATTGTGGGATGATGTTACTAGGCCTAATGGGTTGAAAGTAGCACGTGGTAAGTACCATATTAAGATTGTGTATACAACAAACATATAACTATGAATAAAGTTACAGTTGTTGGATACATGTAACTAATATATTCTTATACAACACAAGTTTGTACTACTTAGTTGATGTTAGATATACAAATGGGGATGGATTTTTAGCACCATCAGGTCAACGGTATTATATCCAAGAATTTGCAGCTGGTTCTGCTGCACCCCGAAATCTCGAAGAATTGTTTAATCTGAGGCATTTTGCGGCAAATACAAACATTAAGAGATGCTTTGCATTGCTTAAAATTAGATGGACAATTCTTAGGGCACCGTGCTACTATTTTGTGCACACTCATAACTACATCATAGTTGCATGTTGTTTGTTACATAATTAAGAATGAAATGAGTGTTGATCCATTCGAAGAGGAGTTGCCCGAAGAAATTCCTATTGATGGTGAATATGCAGATGATGTCATAGACAATGTGGAGATATCTACTAAATGGTCTTTGTTTCGCAATTAGATGGCATTGGAGATGTACAATGAATGGAGAAGTAGTCATGGTCAACCTGTGTAATTTCATGAATTTATATTTATGTTTTCATTACTTTTTTCCCAAAGAAATTATGTTTCATGTTATTGTATACAAGAAACGTAATGTGTTATAATGTAATTCACTTTTTTTTTAACTTTTTGTGGTTAAAATTTATCGTGTTCGTGTCTTACCCGTCGTCCGGACAGTTATCGTAAAAAAAAATTTTGTCATTTAATTGTTGTTGTGTTTTGAACATAATGTAGACAATGTCTGATAAAATTGGGAGTATACAATTAGAAAGGGTGTCCGAAGGACATGGACTACGACCGAAGATAATCAGCTTATACCATCTTTGAAGGACTCGTGCGTTAATGGGTGGAAGTGCTAGAATGACACATTTAGACCTAGGTATTTATAAGCCCTGGAGAACAGTTTAAAATCTGCAATTCCAAGTTGTCAGTTGCGCGCTTCCCTTCATATCGAGTCGAAGCTGAAAATCTGGAAG